CCTCTCGGGATCTTGGGCACGCACGCACACGCGCCCGGCGTGAGTTTTAAGCCACCGGGTCCAGGACGTGAACCACAGTCGACTACGTGGGAGTCCAGCGACATAGCCATTACGCTAACTGCTGGTTCCCACCACCCAAGTTTCTTGGCTGAACTTAGCACACGGAGTCATCTTCTCTGAGTCTCAAGAATCACACTGACTTTTCCCAGGCCTTGCGTTGCTGGTAATGGCAAGATGGAAGGCCCTTCACAGCTGCTGTCACTGGAGGCCTCAGGCTTCACCGAACCCACCCTGCCTCCCTCTGGCTTTCAGAGTCTGTGTTGGGAGACCCTTTCTACGTTTTCTTACTCTCGATGTTAAGAATCCTCCCTGTCCATCTGATCAAAATGGGAAACTTTTTGCCCTTTCTGACAGAAATCATTTGGTGTTGGCCACCTGATGGGTACTTGGGGTTAATTAGAAAATCCCCATCAAGGGTTCAGAGGCCAATATCAGCTGTCAAAATCCCACATTCCCTTCTTTCAAGTGCAAAACAACCTGTGTCTGAAGATGTGCGGGAGATGAAAGGGCACGCACCAACGCCGGGGCTTTGACTGGGCCCTATTCACCGCCCCACCACCATGAATACCGCAAAATCTCAAATGAAAGTTTTAATCTCCCCACTGCATTCAGCCCAAAGAGAAAGGGGCTTCCTTTTAACAATTTGCCCCCTTCAACCTTTTGTGTTCCAGTGCTCCCGAAAAAAGCGGAGATTTCACTCTGACCCGGCAAGGGCTTTACGCCAAAGAAAGCCAGGCACCTCGAACCCTTTGTGCTGAAAGAAGAAGGAGGACTGGCCGCCCCAAGCAAGCGGCGCAAAAGCATCAACTCAGTGGCGAGGCTCACGGGGCGGAGGTGCCTGTGTCGAGGCCTGCGCGACTCGGGCTTCTGCACCGTTGGGCCCAACGAGAAGAATACGATCTCACTGCCCGCCCCTTTGCTTCCCAGAACTGGAGAGGCCGGGATGGGAATGCAACCAGGTTGGGTAATTTCCCAGCCAGGGCAGGGGGCTGAAGTTCATTAGCACCTGCAGGCCAACAGGCTCAATTAGGCCCTTTATCACATTGTACCAAAAAGAAGAAAAAATAATAATTGCAACCTAAATCCCACTCCAAGGTCAGCCCTCTCCAAACCAGCCTTTGGGAGAGCCTCGGGTGGCTCCGGCGATGCTCACGACCTCCTTGCTGGTACCTGGGAACCAGACTGCAACTCCTTCTATCATCCTAGTCCGTTGGGCGCAGACTCGGGGTCACTCAGGAAGCAGGACGCAGGCGGGGGCGCGCTCCAGCCCTCTGCGAAAGACCTTTGGGTGCAAAGCGCATCTCCCTCTCTGGCGCCTCTCCTTTTTCCGCGGGTTCCCAGAGGACTTAGAGAAAAGGAAGGTGCGGGCTCCGACCTCCAGCTTCACAATTATCCCCTTTGCATGTGATGAAACGCTCCCGGGGTGCCCGTGGCATGAAGCACAATTCCCTAACTCTCCAGCATACAAAAACAAATGTTTGTTCAATAAGTATGGCGTTTCCGGCTTCGTTATTTTCTTCTGAAGAGCTGCCCTAAATGTTTGAAATTAGCGCCCGGTATTAATCCAAAACGTCGGGATTAAACCCAGTGGCGCAGTTTTGGGCCCAATGCGGTTTTATTGGCGCCTTAATTTGGTGTTCCTTAATTCTGACAACTAGTGAATGCCACCTTTTCAAAAGGGTGTTTTTGTGGAGCGGCCAGAGTTCAAAAGGTCCTGAGCGAGCGCCCCGGCGAGCTGGGCGGGAGCGGCGTGCGGGGGCGGCCAGGTTCTGCTGCAGCCGCAGAGCCGGGCTGCCAGTCGGGGAAGGCACCGACGCGCCCCTCCCCGGCGCGTTTCCACCGCCCCTTGGACGCGTCTGCTTCGCTAGCCTTTTCGTCCTGTCCGAACACGAGTTTTATTGCGGATCAGAGACAGGACCGCAGATACGTGGCCACTGTCCGTGGCACATTTGTCTTCGATTTGCTATCTTTTAAGAAAGCCGTTTGTGAAAAGCCGCCTATTTCCCTGCCTGCTCTTTGGTGTACCTGACTCGGGGTGTGCCTGGTCTTCAGGACTTGAGAGGCAGGGGTGCAGGTGGGGGATTAAAAGATATCTCAAATTCCAAGGTTGGAAGAAACACGAGGAGATGGGGTGGCGGTGACGGCATAGTCCTTGTTTTGTTTTTGTTTTAAGAAAAGCAGTAACAAAACCCAAACGACATTTACCAGTTATTACATGTATCTCTGTCACATGGCATGGATTTTAAAATGAAAAGCACGTATAACGTTTTGGAGATCCTTTGCATTTGTCACTTGCTGAATAAAGGTGGTAGAAAACGCTCCTTTGATAATTTTTAGGCTGGAAAATTTTGGCAAACGTCCTGTACTAAATACACGCCCCAGCACACGCGCACGCACACACACACACAGAACAAGAATAAATTAACAATAAATGTAATCACAATGCTGAAACTTTTCTGCGTCTACATTACAACTGCAAACTAGAAATTAACCAAATCTACCACACCGTTTACTACAACGTTTCTACGTTTTCCTCTAGTTCTAGCATCATTGTTCAGGTTTGGGGTAGTTCAAGGGAGAGTATATCTTTAAAAAATAATTATTATTGGGGCAGGCAGGTGACGTGGTGGTTAAGGGCGCTGGACTTCCACATAGCCAACCACCGGTTCAAGTCCTGGACCTGGTGGCTTGTTTTCTCTCTCTCTCTCTCATACTCTGTCCTCTGATCAAATTAAAATAAAGTTAAATAAGCTAATTCTTTTTAAAATAATAATTATCTAGATCTAATTAGGCTAATTAAGTAAAATGTAAGGCAGTAAGGGAACTGGCAGGTGGCATGGTGGTTAAGGTGCTAGACTCCCACGTGGGTGAACGCAGTTCAAGCCCCAGACCTCACAGCTTGCTTTCTCACTCTCTCTCTCTCCCCCCACGCCCACTGGTTGCATTAAAAATAATAATAGTAATACATTAAAATTAACAAGTAATTTTAAAATTTTAAGACAGTAAAAATGACACACCTTTGCAGAAGTTTTTATACCACATCCTATTTCAAATGTATCAAGTGTGCTCCACTCTAGTACAAACGATTCTGTACAGTGAAGAACTTTCCTAGTAAGAGTAAGCACCCCCTCACTTAATCTGTCTTATGTTTGATTTTTCTTACATGAGATTTCTTCAAAACCAGGCAGAACATTCTTAATAGAAAAGAATGGCTATCTGCCTGACATGTTCAAATCACTAATTCTTCAGAGCCAAATACATATCTGAGGAGGTTGGGTGGCATTTCTTCACTCTGTAAAAAGAAAAAAAATGTGATGAAGGTGTCACTTACATAATGCGTCATAGGATTTAAAATGAGTATGTTTTCATTTATATATTTTTTAAATTTTATTTTGTTAGGGGGTGCCTGTGCTCTCTGGGGGGAGAGAGAGAGAAAGTGAGAAAGCACCCCCCCCATGAGGCCAACAGGTGGCATGGTGGTTAAGGGCACTGGACTCCCACATGGCTGACCATGGTTCAAGTCCTAGGCCTGATGGCTTGCTTTCTCGCTTTCTCTCTCTTTCTTTATCTCTCTCTCTTTACCTCTCTGGTCAAACTAAAATAAATAAATACAGTTAAATAAAATAATTATTTTTAAAAAAGAAAGAAAGCACCCACTCCCATGGGGGATGGTCAGGGGTTGGCTACAATCCTGTCTCCATTTCTCCTTTCAAGATTTTGGGTATGGCAAAACCACCTGCACAGGCTGACAGGTTGGGACTTGAACCACTCAGTAGGCCAAGTGGGAGCCAGCCGCCTTAATCACCTTACCACTGGCTAGCCCAATATGTTTTTAAAGACAGTCAATGTTAGAAGAAGATGACAAGACATATAAAATCATTTTTGAACCACAAGAAAAAGGTCACTTATAGAATGTTAAAGTATTTACAAATCCTCCTCTAAATAAACATGTGCCAAATTCACTTTTCTGTGAAGAGAAAATAGAATATTAAATTTAAATATTCTATATTTCAGCTGAATTACAAGTAATGTAAACTTTACACAAGTCAATTTAATGTGGCTCTTGAGGAAAAGTTTTCATTTGATTTTGGTGCTTCCTCCAGAAGTTTTAGAAAAGGGGGAACTAAAGAGGAAAAATAAAATAGAATTGCTTATAGATCTAGTTAAGCCAAGATGGGAAAGAAACAAAGTTGTAGGCTATATTGATTTCTGAACTTTTATCTTCTAACACTGAGATCTCCTTTGAAACTCAGCAACTTGAAAATCAATTTGTGAACCTTGTTTGTGATCTGGAATCAAATTTCCCACCCAAATATTTTCTCTGGTTTTCTTAAAGAGAAAGAAGACCTGGTGCCAACCACCTGTTCTGCTACTCGCCTACCTGCATTAGCCAAGGTGTTTGCCTTTGTGGAAGTAACGACCACCTGAAGCCCACTTTCAGACTAACCCGATCTGAGCATCCCAGTCAGAGCAGACTCTTCATGCTCACAAAGTCAGCAGGCAGCTTGCCTCTCATATAGCTAAAATCTTCCAAGCACATGCAGAATATTTCACATCATCGCCCCTGAAACCCTCTGAAGCAAATCAATAGAAGACACGGCCAAATAAAAAAAAGAGTAAGATTTTATCTCAATTTAAACATGTTAACAGTAGCCCTGTATATTCCAGATTTTACCCAGCTGTTTTGGCTCTTCAGTGAATCTGAACAAGGAAGCAATCCTGTCTTCAGGACTAGAGGATATAAAAAAAGGTTCAAAAGAAGTCGAACCGTTTTCTACACACCCCCTACCCCATCCCGGTTTCTGGCTTGGTGACTTCCAGGATTTAATGCCATCGATTCTTTTCCAGTTTATTTCTCTGCAAGGATCTGGTTTTCTTATAATCCCTTCCCAAATCAGACTCCTCATAATCCTAAAAACTATAAACGGTGTACATCACACAGTGTGGATTCAAAACGATTTCGTCTCAGAGGACATTAGGGTTTCTATCTGAAGCTATTTATAATCATCTGTATCAAGTGCAATGAAACAGGTTTTCTTTTAGTTTCCTCTGTTTTCTTTATTTTTCATTCTTTTTAGGAAGACACGAGCAAGAAAAAGGAAACATTGCTACACTTAGGGTAAAGCTGCAAGCTTTTTATCAAATTATCAGTTCCTCCCAGAAGATTGAATTTGCTTACTTTTCTCATAACTATAGGAAAAAACAGACTTTTGACAGATAAAAATGGTCGATGTTTAACACAAGTGAATTCAGCAGATTAACTTCAAATGCAGAGCATTTAAGTGTAATTTCAGAAAAAAAATGTTTGAAAATGAACGAGTAGAAGAGAAGGATTTATATGGGGCACCAATCATTGTCACTTTGCTGATCAGCAGTTGGTTTGTCATCACAATTGAGTTCATGAGCCCAACAGAAGATTCCGTGGTAGCTACCACGAGGGTCATTCCTGAGATATCCTTAATTTTAGGTTAGGGATGAAGTACCTAGGAAGCGACATCTCACTTGTTTTGAGGTGGGAAGGAATGAAGAGTTCGGGGTAAGAGTAGGAAAATATTAACTGAATAGTCCAGGTAGTCATCACAAAATTCTCTGTAGTGGATGTTATGATTCCCATGTTCACAGAAGAGTAAAACAAATTGTGGAAACTTTAAAAAAAATTTCTTGTATAAGGAGAACAGCAATGATTTGGCAGGGCTAAAATTCTGATTCAAGTCTAGCATATACCATGCTGCCTCTTAAGAATGCAGGTGTATTTTAAGTGTTCACAAAAAGTAGAATATATGGCCGAGTAGGTATTTGAACCTCTACAGTCTCCTGCCATCTGTTTTGAATCATTCATTTCAACAAGCTAATAAACAGTGATTAAGCATCTCTTATTTCTATCACTCCCGAATGGTATTAGATATAGGCTATACATATACTTGAATAACACACATGTATAGGTATGTTTTAAATAGAAATAAATCTTAGTATCTATCACTTTACTCTGGCTTTTTAATCTCTTATTATTTAGATGTCGTTTCTCAACTCATTAAAAAGTCTTAAAATATTCATCTTAATGTTACACACATATAGAACATGATTTATTAAATCAATTTCTGGTCGTTGAACATCTAGGCATTCTATTTCTTGATACTGTAAATAGCTCCGTGTGGTACAAGTACATTTTATCTTCCTAGACATCGCTATTTCACCAAGATCATACAATATTTTCCAGGTTTCTGACACATACCACGATACTACCTTCTAAAATGGTTGTATCAGTTTACGCTCTCATAATTCTTTGCATTACTGAGAAATAATATATTTTTAAAAAATTTCTACCAACCAAATGGAGTAGGGAGTGAAATGCACATTATTTGAAATTTTTTATTACTAGACTGAATATATTCATATGTTCTTGGTATTTTTGTCTTCTATAATTTTGTTCTTTGTCCTTTGCCTCTTTTGCAATGGGTATGCTGTTCTCATTGATTTTGAAGAACTCTTTACATATTAGATTAAATAACTGCATGAAACAACATTTAGACCAATGTTTCAAGGCCCAGATCAAATGATACATCTTTCATGATGCCTTTCCTGACTCTATCAGTCCTAACTCAAGCTTCCTGCTTCGAAACCCTAATCCAATGGTCAATATTAAATTACATACTGTTTGCAATCCCGTAGCAATTTTCTTTAAT